CAGCAAAGAAGTGGTGTGGCGCGATCACAACGGCAATTGCACTGCACTTGCCAACATCCGGCTTGCAATGTGACATGGGCGGGCGCTGGATGCCACGGGTTTCCAGCAGAAACGCAATCAGACACCCGCCCTTGCCCCACGTTTTCCGGAAACTAGTACATCGTATGTGGTGGTTTTTTACTCTGCATCTTCAGCAACAAGCCACGGGTTAGCCACGGGTGCACTACGCTTCCCAGATGTGGTGGTGTGATCGCACCTGGAAAATCTACCTATCATCCATGTCTTCAGCGTGGCAACTTCTCCGTGTGAACGGGGCCACACTATTCCAAATGAGGTCACACCATAGGTCTATACCTACTGGCCTAGGGGCATTATCATATCAGCCATTTTATTCTCAGTCCCTTTCCTAATAATCCCCAACACAGAGTTTGGCTTTCTCACTGCTACAGCACACTGGGTTGATACTTACACTGAGCTATCTAGTAGGACCCCAAGATCATTTCCCCTTTCAGTCTCAGAAAGTTCAGACCCCATTAGCCTATACTTGAAGTGGGGATATATATTTTTGTTCCACTGTGCCTCACCTTACACTTACCAACACTGAACTTCATCTGCCATGTTGTTGCCCACTCACCCAATTTGTGGAGATCCTCCAGGAGCCCTTCACAGTTATCCTTGATTTTCTCTCCATCCTGAATACTCAGGTGCTCCAAATCATGCATGGATGGAAGCCTTCATTTGGCAGCTGCAGACCCAGAAGTCTGTAGCTTTTAATTCCTCTTGGTTCAATCCATTCAGCAAGGAGAAATAAAACCACTGTTACCACGCTCCTACTGGAGACTAGTGCTTCAAAGCATGCTTGGAAGCCTCCACTCTACCACAGGGAGCAAAGTGGGGACCTAAAGATGGAGCTTCTGCTGTCTCTCATCAGCCTTCTCTGATGCTGCTTTTGCTCCTATAACCTCACAAGATAAGTCGGGGAAAAGATGGAGGAGAACTATTGACAAAGTATGCTAATGATGATGGAGCTTTGGGAGGAGTTCCTGAATGAGGCTGTTTTTTCAGAAAATGTTTGTCCAGGTTTGCTTAAATCAGCCCCACAGTTTCTGAAGAAGCAAGAAAAGTTGGCAGGTAAGTGCTCTGTGAAATCAGACGAGCTAAGCTCGTAAACATAACAGAAGAAGAGCCCAGCTGGATCAGACAGAGTTTCTGAAGAAGTAAGAAAAGTTGACAGGTAAGTGCTCTCCAATGGTCCCTCTAGTCCAGCATCCAGCATCCTGCCAAGGTCTTCCCCTGATGTTGTTTGCTGGCTCTGGGATTCAGAGGGTTAGTGCCACTGGATGTGGGGGTTCCCCTCAGTCACCATGGCTAATAGCCATTAATATATTTATCTTCCATGTATCTATCTAATCCCGTTTTAATCCCATTATGGTGGCTTGTCCTAGTATAACTTCAGAGATCACCTGAGATGAAAAACTCTGTCTGTGGTCTTAGAATATGATACATTTTCAGTTGAATAAACGACAGAATAGGACTCTTTTTAAGGATAAAAAATGTGTGAAATCATTTGGTATAAGGTCTCTTTGTCCTTTAGAGCTGAATGAAAGGTGCTTACTGCCTTTGGGGTACATAAATGAGTGACAAAGTGCCGTGGTCTAAACTGCCTTGTCAAACTTAAGAGTCTGACATTTCCAAAGATGTTAAATTAAATGATGTTAGTGTTTTTTAGAGAGGTTACAAGGGCTGTATCTGCTTACCATTACTTGCACGTTTAACTTGCTTAACTCCTGTTATTTTCCATCAAGTAGCTTGTATTTCTGCAATACTGTGGTGTTTCTGGAGGAATGCTTCCTCTGGAAGTATTAAGCACAGACCTCAGGTAAACTGGTGTGCACTTATAAGAGTCCATCCCCGACATCTATAATTGAAGGATTGGTTTGGAATGCTCCTTTACCTGAGACACTAGAAACTGAGTGTAAGGTATCTTCTTACACCTACCTGCAGGGCAGTTGTCTCAAAGTATTTTATTATCTAATGCGGTCTTCATCAAAGAAATGGCAAGTTATTTTCAGGACAAGTGGGGAAGGAGAAACAGGCAAAGCTGGAAATGTGAAGGTAGGGAGGATACATTTTAATTTTCCCTTTCCCCCAAGGTGCTTAGTGCACACAGCATACTTTTGTCTGTTGGCAGAGTTATTATTGAAATAATCTTGTGATAGTGTCTGGAATCCCTAGCTGATAGCAGCAAATCAGCACGTAAACGCAAGAGTTAACAAAAAAAGTGTGAGAATGAAGCTAGAGTCCAGCAGTAGCCCCAAGACAAGGAGGTAAATGTAACTGTTCATGCTAAGAAACTGCATTCCAGAGCTTTCTGGTAAGGAAAGCTGGCCAGGGCCAATGCATCTCCTCTCACCTTTGTGTCCCAGGTACAAGGCTGAGATGATTTCGAGAGTCGGATTTGTTTGGTTACTTTGACCTAAAGCTGTGTGTACTCAGGGTTTCCAAATCTGATTTGGGAAATATGCGGCGCATAGACATGCTATTGCTTTGCATGATCATTATAGTATTTTTATAAGGCTACTCTGCAGCTAATATAAATCTGATGACTTTATGACAGTTACCAATCGCTATGAGCATAGGAAGGATAGGCTACAGAAAATCTGATTGTGCTGAGAATCTGCCACCCTTCTCTGACCATTTTGGCTGCTGTTGGCTGAAACCTGGGGCGATTTCTCACTAGAGCTGCCTCGCAGCACAGCGCTGTTTGCCCCAACACAAACATGTCAATTTCACAACCGGGGCTGCGGGGCTGCATTTGACTCGGGGCTTCGCCCGATTTCCTCCGCAGTTTCATGATCCTCAAAAACCAGGATCACAAAACTGTGGAGGAATTCGGGCGAAGCCCCGGGTCAAAATGCAGCCCCGGAGCTTCCGGTGTGAAATTGACATGTTTGTGTCGGGGCAAACGGCGCTGTGCTGCAAGGCACCTCTAGTGAGAAATCGCCCCTGAAGTAGCGTCTTCTCTGTTTCGGCACAGTTTTCTAGTGCCAGGACACTGAAGCCCTTTCTAATCTCATTGAAACTCACTTCAAAACGCTCCTGCAATTTTTTTTTTAATCATACCTAGTTTATACTCGAGTGCTTACAGGAACTTTGCTTTTGTCTTTTTCTGCTAGTTTAATCTTGTTGCTGCTTTCCTTCTTTGAGCCCATGCGGCTCTATGACAGCTTTGGAGGGGATTAGCAGTTCCTCCCCCCCCCCCAAGTCTTGAGTGATTTAAAAAATGGAAAAAAAGCCCACCCTAAAACATTAACTCGCTAACATAACTCATTGCACTTCAAAATCCTGTCATTCACCATCTCTCTGATACTGCTTCTGGAATCCGGATGTATTTGGTGGATGCTTTATCATCAGTAATGAAATATCTGTGTAAATCTCATTAAAGATTTACAGGCCAAGGTCTAATGAAGCAGTTATATAACAGCCAGCGAAAAAGTTTGCTATGCATGCCGCCAAATTTTAGGATTAAAACTTAATCCTGCATTACCCTTGCTTCTTGAAGTGTGGAAAAGTTACCCAAAAGGTTTCAGCTTATTTCAACAAATAAACTGTTCAGATTGCCTGCATACCTGGGCTGCAGACAAATTCTTTCCTCCTAGTGTTTGTGAAAAGTACTCAGAAACGTGGAGTGATTTCAGCAAGAGTACTTTATTTAAGCAGGAACAAGACAAAGTAAGCCGGCTCGCAGGCCGGTATATATGCACAGAAAACCCACCACCAAAACACACCCCCTATTTCCCTATAGGCTATTTACAGTAGCCGAGAGTCCCATAGGCTCTAGGCTGCGGACCTGGCCCTCTGATAGGTGCGGGCTAGGATCCGCTGTTCTATTGTTCTCTAGAGCGAAGCTTCAGGCTTTGCTAGACCGCATGGCATTACCGCGCACGTGGTAATGGCGGAGTACATTACAGTTTGCGAAACAAATTTTAAAAACAATAATGATTTGAGACTTTGTCCTAACAGTACTGACTGATAACCTGTGGTTAACTTTTTATCTTTAACTTTCTGATGAATCAGCACAAAGCCCTACAAAACGGTAGCTCAGCTAGTTACAGCAAAAAAATTGAGTCCAGTGGCACCTTTAAGACCAACAAAGTTTAATTCTGGGCACAAGCTTTCGTGTGGCATGCTTTCTGGGCTTCTTGCAGGATCTCTCTGAGCTCCTGCACCTTCTGGTTCATAGCAGAAGGTACAAGGGTTCAGCATGCCAACTAGGGTTGCCAGGCTTAAACCTTAGAGTTTTGCCCAAAGACTAGAGCATCACCACAATGACATCAGTTCCCGGTGACATCATTGCAGTGCATGCACACTTTGCACATGGGGCAGAAGCTCCAGGAAGGGCCCATCTATCCCCCCTGCCAGCAGAAACATAGGACCTGGGAACTTTGGGTTAGGAAATTCCTGGAGATTTGGGGATGGAGCCTGGGGAGGGTGCAGTGTGGGTAGGGGAGGGACCTCAGCAAGATGATGTTGTTGATGATGATGATGATGATGATGATGATGATTTAATTTAGTTTATAGCCCACTCTTCTGAAGACCGACTCAGAGCAGGTAACATCAGTTTAGAAATATACAATTAAAATGTCCAAATAATACCATAGAGTCCACTGTCCAAAGCAGCCATTTTCTCTAAGGGGATCTCTGTAGTTTAGAGATAAATTGTCATTCCTGGATATCTCCAGGTCCCACCTGGAGGTTGATGACTTTAATAGGCTGGAGAGCAGATTATCTTACTTTCAGGATTATTTTCCCCCCCAGTAGTGGGAGAAGAGCATTCTACATTTGGAGTCATCCTTTTGAGTAAATATGGTATTTCAGACATCTCTACCTCAGCTCTGCTTTCTCCCCTCACTGAACTTCCTTTCCTTTTGATTTTTCCCCTCCTCTTTCCTCCCCTTGTCCTGTCTTCACTAACATTGCCAGAGTAGAGGAAGATCCTGTCTTACCTTTATCCCTTGTATAGTACCTTCACTTTAAGGAATTATATGATACACCTATTGATCCATCTTTCATTTTATGGATCTCTAGATGGTACTGTCCCTCGGGCTTTTCCCCCTAACTTCTCACTTCTGTGGGATAATAATTCTTTTCCATGGCACAAGGCTGTTTAAGAATTACCGAGAACCAGCATAATCATGATAAGGTAACACAGGAAAGCTGTAAGATACGGCATTTGCTGTGAGGAATGCAGCTTAGAGATTGTGTGTTTGATTCTGAATATCCACTGTAGCTGAACACTGTAACCTGCTTGGTGTATTACTGTCACTCGAAGAAGCCTTGATCAGCTCTCCTATGAGGTGGCTATGAAATGGACAATGACTCACTAGGTAGATTGCCCCTCATTACATGAAGAGCTTCCTTCCTTGCTCAAAAGCAGCTCCTCTCAGAGGGGGAAATGGCTATGAGGCATCCTGTGGAATGGCATGAAGAATTGCCTCAGGAATGCATTTCTCGAAATGTGCCATGCAAAGATCCTCAAGTTGTCAAGGGACTGACATGTCTGGTTCCCTTGATAAGTACATCGCACAAGGTGGCTGAATTAAAGGCACCTTAAATGAATAATCACTGGGGTTTTCAGCCGATTAGTAGATACATTTGCTGGCTAAATTCTACCGTTCTTTTCTACTGAAGTGTTCCTCTCACACACAGACACCCCTAACCCAGAAGGTAGTCAGATGTCCTCCAACATCCACGTTGGGCTCAGTTCAGACTTTGCCCTTTTTGAATTAAAATTTTTGATGTCTGCTTAAAAATCTCCACCCACCCCCATCTCTTTTCACAGATCTGTTTGTTTTATGGTAGCAGTTTTTAAATTGAAGGATGTGTTTATTTTGTTTTGAGTGGAATTTTGCCTCTTTATGAATGTATGTGAGCTGCTTTGGTGACTGATAAAAAAGCAGGATACAAATCCAATAAATAAAACAAAGCTGCCACCAGACAGGTGGAGGCAGTCCATGCAATAAAGTAGTTAATGCATTACACCCTTTATTTAGAACCATATGTTTTAATGATATGTAGAGCAGCACTTGGTTTTCTTAATAATAATAACAATAACAATAACAATAATAATA